CTATTTTTCTCTTTATGTTGAGATGTAATCTATATAAAAGGCTGTATAGCCTTCTTCGGTAAATGTTTCTTCTTCAGAAAGTGCTTAGAGTCTACTTTCTGCAAGCAAAATTGTGTCATCTGCTTATACAGGTTGTTGATGAGTCTTCCCCTAATTCTGATACCACATTCTTCTTCATAGAGTCCACCGTCTTATATTATTTTCTCAGCATACAGATTGAATAAATATGGAGAAAGGATACAACCATGATGCATACTTTTCCTGACTTTAACCTATGCAATGTTTCTTATTCTGTGTGGACAACAGCTTCTGGGTTTATGTATATTTTTCACATTAACACAATTAAGTGTCTGGAATTTTAATTCTTCTCAGTTGTAGCCATCATTTGTTACTATGTTTACACAGTCAATAAAATACAAGTAAACATCTTTCTGGAAATCTCTGCTTTCAGTCAAGATCTATTGGTAACAGCAATGATATCCCTAGCCCGGTTAGGTTTTTAGAAGTTGCCTGTTGATATATTGTTTCCATCATTTTAAAATAATCTTCAGCAATATTTTACTTGCATATGATACTAATGATTGTTGTGTTGTTGTTGTTATGTGCGGTCGAGTCGCTTGTGACTCATAGCGACCCTATGTACAACAGCCTAAAACTCCGCTCTGTCCTGTGCCATCCCTCCGTAAGGACCGGCCTCTCCTCACAACATGTCCAAAGTATGTTAGACGGAGCCTCAGAATCCTTGCCTCCAAGGAGCCACCCAGTTTAACCCCTTCCAGGACAAATCTGTTTGTTTTTCTAGCAGTCCATGGTATTCTCAATACTCTTCTCCAGCACCACAGCTCAGAGGCATCAATTCTCCTTCTATCCTCCTTGGTCATTGTCCAACTGATAATTTCCACTTCTATTGGATCGCCCTTTTGGGTAATGTAAATAAATAGGGATCTTTTACAGTCATTTAGCAAGTTTTACAAGTGTCTTGGCATTGACTGGTTAGTACTTTCAGAGCTGCATCCATTTATCGAAACATCTCTGCTAGTATTACATCATTTTCTAGTTCTTTGGGTTTTTTCCAATGCCTTCAATGTGACTTTAACTTCTCCCTTCATTACCATTGATTCTAGATCCCAGGCTACTTCCTGAGATAGTTCATTGTGGACCAACTCTTTTTAGTATAGTGGTTCTTGGTCCTTTTAATCTTTATTTTGATAGTGTATCATTCAAGATTGTGTCCATAGAATCCTTCAGTATGACAACTCAAGGCTTGAATTTGTTTTTCAGTTCTTTCAGCTTCAGAAATGTTGAGTATATACTTCCCTTTTGGATTTCTAACTCCAGCTCTTTGTACATTTCACTATAATTCTTGGCTATTTCTAGAGCTACAGTGAAATATGTTGAACATTTTTTTCCTTTTGTTTTTTGCTTCATTGCATTCTGTGTAACTTTCAGAGTTTCTTATGACATCTATTTTGTCTTTTTCTTTCATGGCTGTCTTTCTAAATAAATTTTTGTTTTCTGAGTTTCTGATTTTGGCTGATAACCTTGATGTCATCCTACAACTTGTCTGGCCTTTGGTTTTTAGTATTCTTTGCATCAGATCTTTTTTTTTTTTTTATAGAAGAGCTCTTTTTTAACTGTTTTTATTGGTTTACATGCAATAATTCGTATACATTGTGTTTCATTAATGTACACTGTGCTTTGTATAATCTTTCATTTACATTGTTTCATACATTCATATACATTGTATTCCATATAATTACCATTAATCTATGCTTATTATTACTCTGTGTCTCATTCTTCATTGAATCATTCCTATTCCTTCATCCCCTATCTGCCTACCAAATTCTTCTATCATACTGATTTCCAATCCTCCTCTCTTTCTATCCCTACCCCATATTCCCTTTTCCTTTTGGATATTTATACACACCTTACTCAGTTATTTTTCTACGTTTAAAATAATAATCTTAAATAATATTTTTCAGTATAAGACAAGTATTATCTAGTATTCCATTGTGTGAATGTACCACAACTTCCAATCCATTCATTTATGGGCATTTGGTCTTCTTCCATTTTCATGCCATTGTGACTAATGCAATGAACATAGGTGTACATATCTTCATTTGTGTCTCAGTTCTAATTTCTTCAGAGTATATTTTAGCAGTTGAATAGCCGGGAATTTTAGTTTAGCTTTTTAGTTGTTCAGAAATATACTTTTATTTTATATTAATTTGCATACAAAATTAATATTCACTGTGTTTCATTCATGTTGTTGTTGTTGTTATGTGCCGTCGAGTCATTTGCGAATCATAGCGACCCTATGTACAACAGCCCTAAACTGTGCTCTATCCTGTGCCAATCTCATTGCCTCTGACAAACCCATCCCAATTACCCCAGTCACTGAATCAATCCACCTCATAGAGGGTCTTCCCCTCCTGCGCTGTCCCTCTACTCTACCCAGCATGATGTCCCTCTCT